TTTTAAGCAAACGATTTATTCAACCCCCTTCTAGATCTGCGCCATCGTCTAACAACAGTTTCTGAGTATTGGTTTGATTATATGAATAAAGTAATCGACCATTTTTCTAGTAAAAAAATATGCACTTGTCAAAAAATACATATGTGCATGCTATTCCAACAAAGACAGGGGCACTCAGAGACCTTATTAAACGTTTAGGGGAGTGTCGGTGATGAGATTTTCTCCTCACAATTCTGTGTCTTTTTTGCAGTGACACAATTTTAAATTATTTAAAATTTAATTTTAAAGTAAATTATATAATTTTTTTAAAATAATATTTTAAAATATTTCTAAAGTAAACTATGTATTTATTTAAAAACAATTTTATAATTTTAATATAATCATTTTCATTATGTCACTATTTTATCGTGTACCAAACACATGAAACCATAAAATAATATTATATTCTTTATTATATTGTACCAAACCTTTTATAAAATAAATATTTTATTATTATTATTATTATTATTATTATTATTATTATTATTATTATTATTATTATTATTATTATTATTATTATTATATTAGATCTTATTTTATGAGTTTTTTTATCTTATTTTTTATCTATAATAATAGGCACTAAACGAATATTTTGTCTCCACTAAAATAAAATAGTAAAATTAATTTAATATATTAAATTCATTAATTATACACTCATTTAACATAAAAGTATAATAAATAAATTGTTATATATCTCTTATCATAGTCGAGCAGGCTCAAACTCCACCAGGTTGGAAGGTCCAATAAGACCCCATCGTCGGGCAGAACATCGTCTTCCGTCGGGCAGGATTCTCAAAGCTGTCCGACTGACCCTTCTTCTGCCCCACAGTCGGGCAGAACCCATCCAGCTCGGGAAGCTCTTCAGACCTTCCCCACGTTCTCAACGTGTCCCCTACGCGGAGACACATCATCAGGTAACTATTCGTGTCCTGATTATTCGGTCTTCCACCTTCCGGATAGCACGGAACAGTTACACTAGGACGAAGACCACATGCTGGTCTTCACGAAGCCACGTCAGCCCTAGCAGTTACCAACTTTGGGCCTGACAGCCCAACCCAACGCATAATAACCGTTGGTCTTGTGTTGTGGGCTTGTTAAATATAATTAATTGTGTAAACAGATTTGATTTGATATCATATGATTAATTTGATATGATATGATTAGATATCATATGATTAGATTTGATTTCATATGATTAGATTTGATATCATATGATTAGATTTGATTTAGAATATTTTGGACTAGTGTAAACCTAAAACTATAAATAGGGTGCCTTGCTTTGTATTCTACATCACAATAGAACAAATTTCACAGTTGCAGTTAGCAAGTGAAAGTTCAATAAGAAATCCCACAGTTTGTGGGTAACAATTCTCTTCAAATATTTCTTCTCTCATTCTTCTCTTTCTTGTGTGTTCTTCTTTTCTTTTGTTGTTCTTGATAATTACTTGTTATTACCATCATTATCATATTGTGGGTTTGTTCGTCAATCTTGAGATCAAGATTGAAGGGAATTCTTCATAGGGTGTGAGGTGAATTTCCAACATCTGGTATCTAGAGCTCCGGTTGAAAGATTCAAGGAAGGAAGATAGTGATGGCGATGAACTATCCGAACGGAAACTTTCTGGCGACCCTACCAATTCTCAAGAAAGACAATTATGAGAATTGGTGTAAGCAGATTAAGGTGATCTTCTGTTATCAAGATCTTTGGGATCTTGTGAAAGATGGAGTAACATCGCTTGGGGAGAACGCAACGGAGGCGGAAAAGGCTGCACACAAAGAATTAAAGAAGAAGGATTATAAAGCGCTCTTTATAATTCATCAGTGTGTCAATCCTGATAACTTTGAAAAGGTTAGTGATGTCGATTCAGCAAAAGAAGCATGGGAGATTCTTGAAAAGTCATTTGGAGGCGCAGAGAAGGTGAAAGAGGTGAGGTTACAAACTCATAAGAGAACCTATGAGTTGCTTCAGATGGAAGACAACGAAAGCATTACAGATTTCTTCACCAGAGTTACAAAGTTGGTGAATCAAATCAAAGTATGTGGAGAAGCGCTGACGACGAAAGCAGTTGTCTCAAAGATTTTGAGATCGTTGGCTCCAAAAATCGACCACGTGGTAGTTGCCATAGAAGAGTCGAAAGATTTGTCAGTGTTGACGAAGGAAGAGCTTAAAGGGACTCTTGAGTCTCATGAACAGAGGATGGTTGAGAGAGCTGCAGGAAAGTCGAAAGACATGGCTTTGCAGGCGCAGTCAGAAAAGGAAAGAAAAGGAAAAGGTAGCTGGAATGGCAACAAAGGAGGAAACCAGTCGAATCAGAAGAAACCTTGGAACCAAGGCAACCAAAGAGGGGGTGCTGCAGGTAAAGGAAGAGGTGGTGGTCGAAAGCCAGACAAAAGCCACATTCAGTGTTTCAATTGCCAGAAGTATGGTCATTATGCTAGTGATTGTCCAGAAAGGAAGAAAAATCAAGAGACTGATGCAAAGCTGGCGAAACATGAAGAAGAAGAAACGTTGCTAATGGTCATAACAAAAGATGAAGAAAGATTCCAAGATCAGTGGTACTTGGACTCAGGATGCTCATCACACATGACTGGAAGGAAAGATTGGTTTGTGAACATGAAGCCCTCGTCGAAGAACACCGTGAAGTTTGCAAATGACAACACTCTAGCAGCCGAAGGTGTTGGTGATGTTCTGATTATGAGGAAAGATGGCAAAAGGTCAACAATTTCCAATGTGTTGTACATACTAGGCATGAAGAGTAATTTGCTCAGTATAGGGCAGCTTGTCGAAAAGAACTACAAGGTAGTTGTCGAAGACAAGATGATGAGAGTCCTCGACGCAGGTGGTAGACTAATCTTGAAGGCTCCAATGTCTCAGAATAGGACCTTCAAGATTGGACTCAATGTGATGGAGCACAAGTGTTTAACAACTGCAGCCTCTGAAGTCGAAATAGAAGTTCGACAGGAACCAATTGCAGATGAAGCAGGTTCAAGCAGACCTCGACGAACTAGACACATGCCTGCAAGGTTGCAAGAATGTGTAATCACATCAGATGATGTAGTCGATGAAGAGGGTGAGCTGGTACATTATGCTTTCTACGCAGATGTCGAACCAATCAATGCAGCTGAGGCATTGAAAGATTCGAAGTGGGTGAAAGCAATGATTGAAGAGTTAGAGTCCATCAAAGTCAATGATACCTGGTCACTTGTCGAATTGCCGCAAGGCAAGAAGGCAATTGATGTGAGGTGGGTTTACAAGGTGAAGGTAAATCCTAAAGGAGAAGTAACTCGACACAAAGCGAGACTTGTGGCGAAAGGATTTCTTCAGAAGGAAGGAATCGACTTCAATGAAGTATTCGCACCTGTTGCTAGAATCGAAACAATCAGGTTGGTTGTTGGTCTAGCAAATATGAACAACTGGCACACATGTCAGATGAACGTGAAGTGGGCCATGATGAATGTAAACAGTTTAGACATAATGAATTAGGTGGTGTGTTAAATATAATTCATTGTGTAAACAGATTTGATTTGATATCATATGATTAATTTGATATGATATGATTAGTTATCATATGATTAGATTTGATTTCATATGATTAGATTTGATATCATATGATTAAATTTGATTTAGAATATTTTGGGCCTTTTATGTTTTGGGCTAGTGTAAACCTAAAACTATAAATAGGGTGCCTTGCTTTGTATTCTACATCACAATAGAACAGATTTCACAGTTGCAGTTAGCAAGTGAAAGTTCAATAAGAAATCCCACAGTTTGTGGGTAACAATTCTCTCCAAATATTTCTTCTCTCATTCTTCTCTTTCTTGTGTGTTTTTTTTTTGTTCTTGATAATTACTTGTTATTACCATCATTATCATATTGTGAGTTTGTTCGTCAATCTTGAGATCAAGATTGAAGGGAATTCTTCATAGGGTGTGAGGTGGATTTCCAACAGACTCATTATAAATACCCTATTCCACTAGAGGTCATGTAATCTAATTCTCATTCCTTTCTCTCTGTGCTTGTTATAACTCTGTTCGTCACTTACTTCGGCATCGGAGTGTGTTTCAGGTACACCCCCCTCTGTCCGTCAAATTAACAGTTCAACAGCTCATATGCGTGGCAGTCCATCAATCTCTGATCAGGTACGATCATATATATATATATATATATATATATATATATATATATATATATATATATATATATATATATATATATATATATATATATATATATATATATATATATATATATATATATATATATATATATATATATATATATATATATATATATATATATATATATATATATATATATATATATATAATTTTTAATATTAAATAAACATGTTATAACATTAAATATTTTAGTAGTATATAAGAAAATTTGAAAAGATATAAACAGTTATGTAATTTAATTATGTTAAACGGTATATTTAGTATCCGAGTTTAGAAAATTAAAAAACAGCCAAAACAAATAACATTCATGTTTATTAGAAGTCAATAGAACAGTTGTGTTTTTTGTTTGAATATCTCTTAGACTCAAGAAGATAAATTCAATCTTGTAAAGATGTGTATCCCTTGGGAGATGTTTCGTGTTTTGAAAATCAACTTGGTTAAATTTTTAATTATTAAGAATTATATTGCAGTAATTGAAAATATATCTTGTGAGATGATAAATGACCGATCAATAAAGTTGGGTAAAGTTACCCAACTATTTAGGTTGGGTAATGAAGTTGGCACCTTGCAGTAGAAAAAATGTTGAACCGTACTAAGTTGGTGGTTTTTGAGTTTGTTATAATTATAATATAGATTTAAAGTAAAAAATAAATAACTGTTTAGGATAAAGTTATTCAATAAAAAATTCAAATAAAAAGGCAATTATTCATTTGTTAACATGGCACACCACTATAAAAACACACATGCTCTGCAACTTTCACTACATTCATTTGTCACACACCATGGGCCACTTATCTATCACCCTCACCTTCATCTCTTTCCTTTTCCTCTTCCTAACTCGCTCCCACCAACTCGTCCATGCCGACTCACCAACTCACCCTCCTTACTCCTGCGACACCACCAACCCACTCACCAAATCCTACACCTTCTGCAACCTCAACCTCCCCATCACTCAAAGAGCCAAAGACATCGTCTCAAGACTCACATTGGATGAGAAACTCTCCCAACTCGTTAACACAGCTCCCTCGATCCCTCGTCTCGGTATTCCGAGTTACCAGTGGTGGAGCGAAGCATTGCACGGTGTTGCTAATGCTGGTAAAGGGATACGATTAAATGGAAATGTTAGTATTAAAGCTGCAACTAGTTTCCCTCAAGTTATTCTCACTGCTGCTTCCTTTGATTCTAAACTTTGGTACCAAATCAGTAAGGTTAGTTACTCTTTTAGCCTTTCCTTTGTCAAACTACTGTATAATATATATTTGACACGAAGAAAGCTAGTAACACTCTATAACACGTACTCTTTTATGGTGTGAAACCCTCCTTTGGAAGTGGATCCTACGTAATGTTTCACCCGATAAAAGAGTAAGTGCTAAAAGAGAATGTTGCTAACATTATCTTGCATTTACTTCACTTGATATTAGGTGATTGGAACGGAAGCGAGAGGAGTATACAATGCGGGACAAGCGGAAGGGATGACATTTTGGGCACCAAACATAAACATATTTAGGGATCCAAGATGGGGAAGAGGACAAGAAACAGCTGGTGAAGATCCATTGGTGAATTCGAAATATGCTGTTTCGTATGTGAGAGGTCTTCAAGGTGATTCATATGAAGGTGGGGGACTTGTTGGAGATCGTCTTCAAGCTTCTGCTTGTTGCAAACATTTCACTGCTTATGATTTGGATCATTGGAACGGTGTGGATCGCTTTGTGTTTGATGCTAATGTAAGTTTTGCTTTTTCTATACCCGTTGCTTTGTCTTTTTGTTCTGTTTTTCTTGTTTGCTGCAGTGCATGTTTTGTTTTTTTGCTTTGCATTGTTTCATGTCGTTGAAAAATGCTTGCAACTTGTATCATAATATTTTTCTCAAATTTTGGTATAAGCTTTCTACCACTTTTTTTAAAACTTATTATTATTATTATCTTTTTATATTTGATTTAAGGGATCAATACCACTGTTTATTAGTGGCTAATTTTTTAGAGGAGAAAAATGAATATTCACTCAGTCACAATTCACAATGATAGATATGTATCACATAAAGTCATATTTGTAATTTTAAAATACTAAAATATGATATGGTTGAATGTTAAAATTTTATAGAGTGCTAGCTTAAAATTATTTTCCTCTCTCCATTTAAATGTTTTTTTGAATTTTTTGAATGGTCGTTTCAAAATTTAATTATACTACTATATTTTTAAAATTTTAATTATGTATGGTAAAGTGAACGAGTAATGATTCCATCGAGAAAAAGAATTGACTGATCCAAAAAGACCTTAGCTCTCTCTTGAGTAAATTAGTGTTTTGCGGATTACTTTTGATTTTAATGAAACTATTTATTCCATTAATAGTTTTGATAGTTTATTACATTGCACTGGATTGAACTCAAGTGATAAAAAGATTCAGATAATAAAAAAAATAAAAGCATAATTTAAATAATTGTTGGTCACATGTTAATTTAAATAAATTATTTCACTAATTTCTTTTTCTGTGATAAATTGTCAATGATATGAAAATAATTGATGCAACAATTTTATAAAAAACACTTAAAGTAATAAAAATAACAAAAATAACGAAGAGAATAATTTCATATATACATGTTAACAGAAATTTGAGAACACAAATGCATACAACATGACAATAAGTACCATGTTTTAATTTGTTTTTGACAGAGACTTGTAGAAATTTGTTTCTTAATATGATATACAATTTCTATCTACTGATATGTAATTGATTCTTATATATTCATAGAATCTTCCATTTGAGATTTTTGTCATTTAAGAATAATCCAAATCCATTTCTAATTCAGGTAACTTTGCAAGATTTGACGGATACGTATCAACCACCATTTCATAGTTGCATACAACAAGGTCGATCTAGTGGAATAATGTGTGCTTACAACCGCGTCAACGGTGTTCCAAATTGCGCCGATTTCAACCTGTTAACCAAAACCGCAAGACAAAAGTGGAATTTCAATGGGTAATATAGTATACAGATAATGTTCTTAGTTTTAATACCAACTTGTAGTTTTGAAGCAATGGTTTCAATGGTGATTGTGCAAGCAACACTTATTTGGTGAAATGTAATTTTCAATTCAAATTTTCACCAGAATGTGAAAATGATGTTTTACCTTTTTTTTTTTACTTAATATGAACATTTTTTGAGTGTTGAAAACAGGTATATTACCTCTGATTGTGCAGCAGTAGCTATCATACATGATAAGCAAGGTTATGCAAAAACACCAGAGGATGCTGTCGCCGATACACTTCAAGCTGGTATATATCTACTTGCACTTTTCCTTTGTTTATGTCATAATCACATAGTACTTATAAATCAAGATTGTCTATCTTGAGTCTAAGTAAACTTGTACTCGCGAAACCTGTATATACTCGACTCGTAGATAGTGATACATCTAGTAGACTTTTGCAAGAATTTTCATTAACTCTTTAGTAAAATTGATAGTTTGATGATTCTATCAGAATTTACTTGAATTTGTGTTTTAGAAATGATATGCAACTAGAGTCGTGTCAAGTTTTTGGAAATTCTCTGTGTAGATTAGTCTCAATTTATCACGGGCAAAACAAATAGAGATTCTATTTAGCTACGATTTAATATTCACAAGTTTTAGACACCCGGTTTGTAACCCTAAATGAAACCATTATTACAATGTGAAAGGGTGAATATCATTACATCCATAGCCCCTATGGAAGATGCTTTGAATTTGGCCGGTTTATAGTTTTTGCTCATATTACTAACAAAGTCACATGGTTTGGCCCATATTTTTAATAGTCCCCACATAAATCCGCATGCCATTCTAAGCCATCATGGTGGTCCTTTGGCAGTAAGCAAATACTCCAAAACTTCACATGTTGGACTTCACTTGTGTCTATCACTATCATTTGGCCTGAATACAACCTAAAAAACTGGTTTCAAGTTGTGATTTCTTTCTTTTGTACTATTTATGATTTCGTAAGCAGTTCATTTATCGACATTGAGGTCAAAATATTGGCTTCTTGTTTTGATGAACCGTGACAATTTACTTATTGTGTAATCAAACTTTTCAGGAATGGATGTAGAATGTGGTGATTACTTGACAAAACATGCTAAATCCGCAGTGTTACAAAAAAAGGTACCGATATCACAAATCGACCGCGCCCTTCACAATCTATTCTCCATTAGAATTCGACTAGGATTATTTGATGGAAATCCAACCAAACTCAAGTATGGAACGATTGGTCCAAATCAAGTATGTTCTAAACAAAACTTAAACATAGCTCTAGAAGCTGCAAGAAGTGGCATTGTACTTTTGAAAAACACTGCCTCAATTCTCCCACTTCCAAAATCAACAAACTCCATTGCAATTATAGGCCCAAATGCTAATTCTACATCGAAAGTTGTTTTAGGAAACTATTTTGGAGTTCCTTGTAATTTGGTAACAATATTACAAGGCTTTGAGAATTATGCTAAGAACAGTGTTTATCATCCTGGTTGTAATGATGGAGTAAAGTGTGTTTCGGCTGAAATTGACGAAGCGGTTGAAGTTGCTAAGAAAGTTGATTATGTTGTGTTGGTTATGGGATTGGATCAAACTCAAGAAAGGGAATCTTATGATAGAGATCATTTAGAGTTGCCTGGTAAACAACAGGAGCTTATTAAAAGTGTTGCTAAAGCTTCTAAAAAACCTGTTATTTTGGTGGTTTTGTGTGGTGGACCTGTTGATATAACTTCTGCTAAGTTTGATGACAAAGTTGGAGGGATTTTGTGGGCTGGTTATCCTGGTGAACTTGGTGGATTGGCCCTAGCTCAGATTATCTTTGGTGACTATAACCCAGGTGAGTTTTCTTCAAATGCTTTAGGACTAAAACCTTGATCATAATGTTGTCAGACACTTGTATGATACTCGTACAACACATGTCGCAAAAGTTACAAAAGTGTCAAAAAAAGTCACACAAATGTCCTGAAAAAAGTTTTTTTTTCTCTCTGCTTCGACACTTGTTGAATCGGTGCCTAACACCCGAATGACACTCATACAACATGATAGAACAGAGGTATATATTAAAGAAAAGTATTTTATTAATTAATATGAAAGTAAAATAAATTCCAGAGCTATTGCTCCTCAGTCAGAGAAACTATTCTCTCACTGCCCAAACCCTAAGGTCAAAAACAGAAAATCAATTAATGCCTAACTACTGCCCCATACACTCCTCTTTATATGGAGAATAATCCCTAAACTAACTCCTATTTATATGGAGAATAATACCTAAACTAACTCCTATTTATTTGTGGAGTTTCCTATTCTTTCTCACATATACCCTCCATTGTTTAGGTCCAATAATATCTCTATTAACTAACACATTCCCATCATCATTTGTGGGATCCGATCCATTCCTATCATCACCCCCACCTACAACATTAGCCTTGTCCTCAAGGCGCAGATCAGGGAATTGACTCTTCAGCAATAGTTCCTCTTCCCAGGTAGCATCTCCAACATCCATCCCTTCCCATTGTAACACACTGCTGACTTTGGCAGGATCAACAGCAACCCCTGCTTTGGAAATGCTTTGGAAAGTAGCCATCTTATCATCTACAGCCTGACCACCAAGTAGTTTCACCATACTGCCTTTATGGTTGAACTCCATAGACATTTCTTTCCAATCCATGGTCACCTTCCCCAACGTTTCTAGCCACACAACTCCTAAAATCAAATCCGCACCTCCTAACTCCAACACATAAGCATCAAAGCAAATCTGCACTGATCCCACTTTCATCTGAATTCCATTGCATCTACCCCTAGTTAGGACACGATGACCATCTCCTAATTTAACACCCAAAGGATTAGAAGGCACCATAGACAATCCCAGGGCTTCAACCACCTTAGGTGATATGAAATTATGTGTGGCTCCACTGTCAATAAGTACCAGAATTAAGGCACCTTGTAAACATCCCTCCAATTTCATCCTCCGGACCTGATTTGGGTTAGTGGATACACCAACCAGCCCCATGGTTTTACATTCTAATTCCTCTTGTGTGAGCTCTTCTTCCGTCGCAGCCTCCAACACCACAATCTCTCCTGCATCGTTAACAATCTCGTCATCCCCCAAGATAATCAATCGTAACTGTCTTGTTGCACATTGATGGAGAGGATCCCATCGTTCGTTGCAACGAAAACAGAGTCCTTTCGCACGACGCTCATTAACCTCTGCACTTGGTAGATGGCGAACACCACGAGATTGACGGCGTGAATTGTCACCTAAATTTGGGCGAGAAGATGCTGTAGAATTGGTAGGACGTGTTGAGACGGTTTGAGATCCAGAATCAGAACCAGTCCGCGTTTGGCCCAAAGAATTATTAGGCTGGGTCTGAGTTGCAGATCCGTTCCCTTCCCCTTCGCGAAAAGCCCAATTAGGCTTTTGAGATTTTGTCCAAGAACCATGACCTGGTTTGTAACGTGCTCCAGAACCTTGTCCAGAAGCCACTGCAAATTCACTTTCAACATCACGAGCCAATTGCATTGCTAGGTAACGATTGCGAGGCTTGAAGGTACGCACACGAGAACGAATATCATGACGTAAACCACCAATGAAATAACCTAGAAACTGTTGTTCTGGCAAACGACCACACTGTGAAGAATACAGTTCGAATTCAGCAATATATTCCTCTACTGATTCCGATTGTTTTAGTTCCTTTAATTCCTCAAACGGATTCTCCAAACGCCCACCTCCAAATCGAACCATCATCGCCTCACGGAGGTTCTCCCATGACACTTCCTCTGTTGAATCATGCCATAGGTTAAACCAATGGATAGTAGGGCCTTCCATACTCAATTTGGTCAACTGAATACGAACATCCTGCGAAATTCGTTGTACCTCAAAGTATGTCTCTGCCCGAGTGATCCATGCAACCGGATCGTCACCGGTAAATGCCGGCAACTCCACCTTCTTCGCAGATAAACGAAACTCATCCAGCGGTGAGGAAACTGCCGCACTGCTTGGCTGCGGCACTTCACGATGAGCCATTGCACGTTGAATCTCAGCACCAATGAACTCTCGTAACGCAGCAATGCTAGCCTCAACACCTTCCAACCTTTCTTCCACTGCAGAAACACGGTCAGCCATCTTAGGAGCTTTGGGCATGAACAATGGTAGGTCGGACCAATTGATAGAACAGAGGTATATATTAAAGAAAAGTATTTTATTAATTAATATGAAAGTAAAATAAATTCCAGAGCTATTGCTCCTCAGTCAGAGAAACTATTCTCTCACTGCCCAAACCCTAAGGTCAAAAACAGAAAATCAATTAATGTCTAACTACTGCCCCATACACTCCTCTTTATATGGAGAATAATCCCTAAACTAACTCCTATTTATATGGAGAATAATACCTAAACTAACTCCTATTTATTTGTGGAGTTTCCTATTCTTTCTCACATATACCCTCCATTGTTTAGGTCCAATAATATCTCTATTAACTAACACATTCCCATCATCATTTGTGGGATCCGATCCATTCCTATCACAACACGTGTCAGACAATTCAAGCAACTAATTCAAAAAAAATTGTTTTTTTTTTCTTTGCGTCAAGACATCTTATATATAGTTTTGAACAAATCTCGCACACATCTAAAAGAGTTAAAAAAAATTACTTTTGATTAGGATATTTTTAACTCTTTTAATAATAAATGAATAAGTGAAGGTCAATATTATCATATATGCAGCGGTGCCAGTGTCCTATATTTTTGATATTATCGGTGTTGGAGTGTCTGTTTTGTATTGTATTGTGTCGTGTCCCGTGTCTGTGTCGGATTCAGTTTTTTATAGCAAATTTATGATTACATACCTTCAATATAGGGGGAAGACTGCCAGTGACATGGTACCCAAAAGATTACATCAAAATACCAATGACTGACATGAGAATGAGAGCTGATCCATCATCAGGCTATCCAGGTAGAACCTACCGTTTCTACACAGGTCCAAAGGTCTATGAATTTGGCTATGGCTTAAGCTACTCAAAATATTCCTACAAATTCGTTTCCGTTGCATACAACAACCTTCACATCAACCAATCATCCACTCATTCGACACTCGCAAACTACGAAACAATCCGTTACAAACTTGTTTCCGATTTAGGCGAAGAAACATGTCAAACCATGTCTGTTTCTGTCAGATTGGGAGTTACAAGCAACGGGAAGATGGCTGGGAAGCATCCTGTATTGCTGTTTGTGAAGCAAAAGAAGGGAAGAAATGGGAGTCCAATGAAACAGTTGGTTGGTTTTGAGAGTGTGAAGGTGGAAGGTGGTGGAAGAGGTGAAGTTGGATTTGAAGTAAGTCCTTGTGAGCATCTTAGTAGAGCAAATGAAGATGGTGTTAAGGTGATTGAAGAAGGTGAGTATTTATTGGTTGTGGGAGAGGAAGAGTACTCAATAAATGTAACTGTTTGATGTGTTGATGAAATGTATTGAGTTTTCAATCAATAAAGAAAAGCTAGCTAGATAATTGAATTGCAACTTCACCATATGGTGATGTAATGGAAAGCTCGATTGAATCTAAAGATACATAGTCATGATCATGATCATGATAATTTACATTTGCAAAACTTATGTGCATAATCAGTGTGATCATTGATCAACAATATATACAGTTTAGTTGGTAGTTGGAGTAACTAGCATTACACTTGGTTAGCCAAACATTAGTGCTCAATTTACATTAGTCAAACATTGATGCTAATTTACATTAGCATTGTAGACAACAATACAATAAGATTTATAAGAGTTAAAATAGAAACATGTTTCAACCTCAGTTCCATGGCCGTTATTGGCCGCTTTAGGCATTGTGTGATCTCTTACGATTTTGTTACGGGGGTTTCTTTGTTAGAGACAAGATCTCTTGACTTGTGTTCCTTAACATAGGCTCGCCATTATATGAAAAACCATTAAATTGTAGATCAATTACAATAAATGATTGGAACAAAAATCTGTCCAGAGCAATTCGTCACCTCGATTGATAAAAACAAGAGAATTAATCATGGTTTTGAGGAATGGATAGCTCATGGCGCCATGACACCTGACATTGCAACTCAAGTGCTCCACTGTCAAATCTCCAAGCTGATTTGGAGTGAAGCTAAAAGCTTTGCAGGTGCTCACAACAGATCTTGAGTGATTTACCTCAAATCTAAGTTCCACAACACCAGGAAGCGTGATATGAAGATGGAACAATATCTTAAAATAACGAAGAACTTGGCTGACAAATTGAAGCTACCAGGCTCTCATATTTCTAACTCTGACCTCATGATTCAAGTACTAAATGGACTTGATTCAGACCAAATCATTTGGTTATGAATCTATCTAACCATATCAACTACAATGGGTTGATTTGCAGACACAACTTATAGTCTTTGAAAGCAGGCTTGATCAATTGAACAAATTCGCAAATCTCAATGCGAATGGATCTGCAAATTTTGTCAAGAAATCTTAATATAAGGGCAACAAATTCAACACCAACACAAACAGGAGAGACTCTAACTTTAGAGGCTTAAGAGGATGCATAGGAAAAGGAAGGGCATATAATCCAACATGTCAACTGTGCAAGAAAGCAGGTCACATTGCAGTTCAATGCTTTTACAAGTTTACAAATCTTACTCAAGTTTAAATCAAATAATTGGGAAAAAAATGGTAGTAACCTTGGTGCTTTTTTAGAATCACCGAACTTTGTGTAATACTATGAATGGTATTTTGATATGAGGAGACCTCAGCCATGTGAGGAAGTCAAGGACTATAAGAATTACTTTGTCCATTGTTGTCCATCTTAATTGGGAAATCAAGCAGGTAGTGTTTTAACGCACCAACTAGAATGTATCATAAATCCAACAAAGGCTTACCACATTTACAAATTTTCAAAGGCCATCTATGGTTTACTGGATATCTGGTGCTGGCCAACCGATATAGGACATCGGGTATTCTCCTCCCGCGGCACATGGGCAATCTCGAACGCCTTGAACTTCACCAGCTTGAGGTATCGCTGGAGAAAAAGGTCCTTTGTCTGATCATCTTCTCTTATTTGGAAAACAACCAACTTGGAATCAGTGCGTAACTTGATACACTCAACACTAGAGGTGACAATGAAATTCATTTAGATAATATCCATCAATCTATCCAATCCATTCATAAAACAAAAATAATTTAATGGATTTGATCCAATCCATCCACTAACTCATATGGAATCCATCCATCTCATTTTATAAATTCATTGAATATTATGTTGTCACTTATTAAATTAAGAATATTAATCTTTTTTTTTTTTTGAAATTTAAGTTTTTTTACGAAATTTAAAAAATAATTCAAAATATTTAAATTATGTTTCTATGAAATTTAAAAAATAATTAAAAATTTTTAAATTAATTTTTTGGATGGATGGATATCCATCCATTAGAAATATGTTAATGGATGAATCAGATGGATTTTATCTTTTAATGGATGGATTGGATTGAATTGGATTTTTATTAAGAGATTTTAGTGGATTGTTAATGGATTAATGGATTGTTTTGATCCATCCATTAACAATCCAATCCATATCCATCAAATCTATCCATTTTGCCACCCTTACTCAGCACCCATTTCCCTCGCGAGCATGATCCTGGTAATGACGGTCACATATTCAGCTTGGTTGTTAGTGGTCGGGAACTCAAACCTCAAGGACACTTCCACAACCAACCAGGAGCTGTTTTCTAAAATAACATTTGTGTCGCTTCCTCTGCTATTAGACGAAACGTCTGTTAATACCACCCACGTGCGGTTTGGCTTTAGGGGCGCGGAAGTCATCTCAGCCGGGAAGTCTACGAACAACTAGGCTTTCAAAGCCTTCCTTGCCTCAAAGAATACCTCGAATTCAGACAATTCGATGACCCATCTCGTCAGACGCCCGACCAAATCTGGTCGGCATAACACCCGCTTTAAAGGTAAATCTGTCTTAACTACTATGGAATATACTATGGAGTGTGCGAGGAAGTATAGTTGTAGTTTGCGCAATGTTGTTACTACCGCCAAAGATGCCTTTTCGATTTTCTTATACCGCGTTTTCGCCCCCACCAGGGCTTTAAAGATGAAGTACACAGGGCTCTAGTTGGGATCGGATTCTCTAACCAAAATGACACTTACAGCTTCTTCAGCAACAACTATGTACAAATACAAGACTTCTGGGAAGTCGCCAGGTAAGTACCGGGAGCGCGGCTAAGGTTTTCTTTAAATATTCGAGCGATTCTTTACAATCAGGTTCCATTTAAAATCAATCTTTTTCCTTAACCAACTGTAAAAAGGAAAGGCGCGTTGTTTAGATTTTGAAATTAATATGTTCAAATCAGTCAACATATCATTCAACTTATCAATTTCCCTTTTTGACGTCAACGAGCTCATTCGGATTACGGCTTCACATTTACTAGGGTTCGCCTTGATTCCTCGCCCTGTCAAATAGAAGCCTAGGAACTTTCTGACCATTACTCCAAAAGTGAACTTCTCTAGATGGAGTCACATATCGTATTGTCGAACCTTTTCCAATTCTTGTTGAAGGTGTTGAGTCTGAAGCTCTTGTCGTTCAAATTTTACGATCATATCGACCATATATACTTCAAGAGTCTCCCTTATTTTTTCTTGGAAGATGTTGCTCATCATTCTTTGGTATGTTGCGTCGTCGTTCTTTAGCTCAAAGAACATGAAATTGTACCGATAATTGACTTGCTCGGTCATGAAGGTTGTCTTTGCTTAGTTGGGTCCAAACATAGGTATTTGATTGTACCACAAAAAGGCGTCCATGAATGAAAGCAACTGATATTTGTCAGAATTTCTACAAGCTTGTAAATGTTTGGCAGCAGATAAGAATCCTTCAAACATGCTTTGTTGAGATCAAGGTATTCGACGCACATCTTTCATTTTCTCGAGGCCTTCTTTAGTAAAACAATGTTGGATAATCATTATGTATAATTGACTTTGGAAATGAACTTGGCGTCTAATAGGATCTTAACCGTGCTAGCGGTGGCTTCAGCTTTTCTCGGGGATTCTCTCCTCTAACACTGAGAGACGTAGCGAACATCAGCGTCCATATTTAATCGGTGGCACGCTACACTAGGATCAATGTTGTGAATCTCATGCAGGGTTATATTCAAAAGATCAGCGTTATATTATATGCATTTAATTAGGGTGGTTCTTACTTCCAAAGGAAGTTGGTCGCCTATTTTTACTGATCTGATGAGATTCTCCTCGAGCTGGAAGGACTTGAATCACCATCTGGAACCAGCCAAACCCCCTATCCGTGAGCGTTTAGGTCTAACGCATCAGAAACTCTCAATATACTTCTGCTTCTCCTTCTGACGTCATGGTCGATGCCAAAAGGTCCTTCTGGATGATTTCCTTAATCTGTTTCGCCTCATTCACGTCGACATCAATGTGACTGGCTTTCCTTCTGCGTTGTGATAAGTTATCTTCAGGTAGATCGGACATGTCGTTGCATCTAGTATCACTAGGAAGGATCTCCCTAGGATACCTCTGAAGACACTCTGACACGGTATCACAATAAAGTTGAGGATTATATTTATTTCAGACGCTCCTTCTCCAATAATCACCACTAAATTCATTGTTCCTTGAGGACGAGTTATTAAATCATTGAACGCTAACATATCTCCTCCGACATACAAACTCAAATTCGTTTGCTAGATACCTAACAAATCCATTATCTCTGTGTAGAGGAAGTTACAAGAGCTTCCGTTCTTTACAAGGAATCTTGTTAAGTTGTGATCAGCGATGGAAATTGTAAAAATTAGAGGCAGATCGAAGTTTTGGAATTATGTTGATAAATTTTCAGCTGAAAGATATCAAACATCAGTCAATAAATTTTTAGAGACGTCAAAACGTCAATCAATTATGAAAATTTGATGTTTAGTGGATAAGAACCGTGTGTGGAATTTAATGTTGCTCAGGATGGTTTTTATGGGGAAACCTAATCTAGTTTTTTCTTTACACGTGTCCTTGTGTATAAAACCTTTTTTACTTTTTGAAATTGTTGCGTTGGCAGGCAAGTATGTTGCTTGTGCTATTGGTTTTTCCTTATAAAGAGCCTTAGTTTTCTTTTCAGAAATACATGACTTTTACTATTCAACAGAGGAGTTTCATAAATGCGATAATGCTTTTCTAACTTGTAAGCTCAAAGAGGAATGAAGGAAATCACGAGGTGCATTAAGCTTCCAAGTAATGTGGCTATTTAACCTCTTCCCCTTTCATTAGGAATTGATGGCCACGAAGAATGTCAAACGTGTCCATGTTCGATATATTATATCCTTATATTCTGACTCACACATGACCGTGAGTTTCTTTCAAAATATTTGGTTCTCAAGTATAGGGCACGAAGAGGATGTAATCTTGGAGCCGTGCTCAAAAATGGAAAGAGCTAATATGGA